GTGGGTGGGTAGGATGGCGTGGGTGGCAGCGCAGGCAGAAGGGAGGTGCCAGCCAAGAGGGACACAGCAGGGATGCAGGGCAAAGAGCTACTGGAACCATCTGGGGGAGTGGGGAGAGGTTGCAGCAGGGAAGGCCAGCGGGGAGCATGTGTGCAAGCCACACAGGAAGACCAGAGGCATTGGCAAGCCCTGGGGGCGGGGGTAGGGGACATGGGGTAGGGACCATCTTGGTCACCTGACCCCCAGACCCACCTGTGCCATCTGCCTCCCTGCCCTCAGAGAGCTCCGTCTCCGGGGGGCCCCCTAGGCTCTCGGTGCTGCCAGCCCCATCGGCCCCCAGGCGCGGCCCCCCGTGGGGGCCCCCCTCCCGCCGGGGCCTCATCAGCCTCTTCACCTTGTCTGCCAGCCAGCTGCCCTTCCTAGAGGCAAGAGGGCACAAGAGGGGCTAAGGCCAGGGAGGAAGGAGGGACAAGAGGCCATGTCTGGGATGGCAAAGGCCAGGCAAACCGTCACTGGGGCCCAGACCTGGGCTGGGCCAGGGCTCGAAGGGCAGGGCAGGGCAGGGGCTAGGTAGGGACGATCCCAGGCCCACCAGGATGGAGGGGCCTCTCACTTGGTCCGGGGCAGGGGCCCAGGTTCCAGCACGCGGTACTGGTCCATGATCTTCTCCACCAGCTTCTGCTTCTCCCGGCGCAGGGCATTGAGCTGGTCCCTGGGAGGATGGGGAGGGAGGATGTGGGCTTGAGGCCTGGGCAGGAACACGGGGTACACCCTGGTACAACCCTGCCCGTTAACACAGCCTGACATACCCCAGGATGGGCTGATAAATGCCTGCTGCCCCGAGTCCCTGGGGGTCAGCCTCCCCCTTTTCCCAGGCCCTCCCAGGGCGTCTCCCCATAAACAACCCAAGGGGCAGCCACGCCGGCCCCCACGGCCCCTCACAGGTACTCGCGCTGCTCGCGGTGCAGGTGGTCCCGGCTCTCCAGGCTGCGCTCCAGGAGCTCCCGGTTCTCCCGGCTCAGAGCCTGCACCTCGGCCAGCAGCTGCCGGTTCTCCTCTTCCTGGGCGCTCCGGAGCTCCGTCAACAGCTGTCAGGGGCAGGCGGCAGGACAAGCGGGGGTGCTTAACAGGGCTCAGGGCCGCCGCCTTCCACTCTCTCCACGCTCTTGCCAGCCCCCAACGCCCCCTCCAAGCCAACCTTCCTCCCCAGCCACCACCCACCCCTCACCACACCTCACACTGTGTGGCCAGCCGGCAGGCGCTCAGGTCCAACTGCTGGTTGGACTCTCGCAGTCGCAGGCTCTGCGCCTCCAGCTGTGCCCGCTCCAGCTCCAGCCTCGCCAGCCGGCCCCGCAGCTCCCCGCGTTCCCCCTGCAGCTCACCTCGCTCCTGGGACACCTCCGCCAGCAGCATCTGAGCTCTGCAGAGGCAAGGAGAGCTGCTCTCCAAGGGGACTTGCCCCACCCCCACCCCCGCAGGCCCCTCATGAGGGCCAGAGGAGCCTTGATGGGGAGAGGAGGCAAAGCAGGACCCCACGGGGAAAGCGACCAACTCACCACCATCCCACTTCACAGATGGGAACACTGAGAACTTGCCCGAGGGGCGAGGGGCTGTGCCAGGGCTGGTACCTGTCATGCTCACTCTGCAGCCTCCGGAGCTCCTCCTCCAGGCCCCGCTGCCGATGCCCGTCCTGCACCAGGCGTTCGCGCTCTGCCAGCAGGGCCACCTCCTGCGCCTCCACGTGGGCCCTCTGGGCCTGCAGCTGCTCGTGCCTGCAATGAACAAGGAGCTAAGAGGGCCGCAGGGACCGACGCCAGGGCGTGTAGGTAGCTGGACCGTCTGGACCTGTAAGTCCATCGTCTCCTGAGCATAAGCGCCGGGGCGAAGCCACAGGGCAGAACGCTGTGCCGGACGCCCACCACTCCCGACCGCCGATGAGCCCCGGGGTGAGCCCACCCCGGAAGTGCAGAGAGCCCAGCCGCACAAGAGGGCACAGCAATGGAGGTGGGTCCACTGGTGGCACTGCTGCCTTGGTGGCATCAGACCCACCCAGGGAATCTGCTCTGGGCAGGTAGGGGGTGCCCAGGAGAGGAGCTGGGAGTTTGGAGGAGGCTCACCGGCCCTGCAGCTCCCGGTGGGCCAGCTCCAGTGCCCGCATGTTGGCCTTGAGGTCGCGGTGCCGGGCCAGCAGCCCCTCTAGCTCAGCCTCCTGCCGCCGCTGCAGCTGTGCCAGGGCCTCGTGATCCCGAAGCAGGGCCTGCTGCTGCCCGCGGGTCTCCTCCTGGGAGCGCCGCGCCGCCTGCACCTCTTCCTCCAGCACCCCCA